TGGCTGCAGTCTCTGACCATCTCTTGTACCATGGCTGCAGTATCTGACTATCATTTGTAACATGGCTGCAGTCTCTGACTATCTCCAGTGTCATATCCTCAGTCTCTGAACATCTCTTGTATTGTGTCTGCAGTCTCTGACCATCTCTTGTATCATGCCCATAGTCTGACTATATCCTGTTGTGTGTTTGTTGTCTCCAATAAGGAATATTTGCTGAATTTTATGTGCAGCCCTTTGGTGAGGTTGGGGGCTGCGCTAGAGACTAGATAGGTGGCTCTGATTGATAGCACTGCTGGGCACTGACTGGGTGGCACTGCTGGGCAGCACTGATGGGGGGCACTGGTGGGTGGTACTGCTGGGCACTGATCATCAGTGCCCCGATGATCTGTGCCGATCCTTCCTGTGACAATTGCCAGTCAGCAGTACTTTCCTCACACTGTGACAGCATGAGGAAAGTGAAAAATTTACCGGTGATCTGCTGTGTCATTGGACACGGCTGATCACGTGGTAAAAGGCAGCTGTGATTGGCCTTTTACCACATCATGTGATCAGCTGTGTGCATAGGACACAGCAATCACCGGGTGCGTGCCCCTGGGGACACTTGGGAGAGCTCGTTCTGGGAAGATGTCATATGACGCCCTCTCTGAACTGGACAACCGCGCTGTAGCCGTCATTCGGCTATAGCCCGGTTGTCAAGTGGTTAAAGTAAAACTAAAAGGCAAAACTTTTTTTTTTTTACCCCATTTTGGATAGAGTATACCAGGGTTATAACTCCTGTCAGTTTATCTTTTTGCCATCTGTACCCATTATGGAGATTTACCTTCACTTCCTGTCCCATAGCCAAAACAGGAAGTTGGAAAATCTCTGCAAATGAAAGGCATTCCTTGGGGACCCCCAGGTCACCAAAGCTAGTGTCCCCAATGGAAAATTTTCCCTGGATTACTTTTTCAGGGACAACCCAAAAGTTGAGATTTCTTTTACTTTCACTTTCAATGATAATGGTAAACAGAACAAATAGAGAAGGGGAATCGCCTTAACAGGGGCACAGACAGCAATAAAAATCTGACAGGTGTTCTAACCCCTCTCCCCTTTGCCCTTAGTTATAGTTTAGGTTGTGGACAGAGTGGTGATGGATTTGAATACCTGTCAGGTTTTATTGCTGTCTGTACCCCCATTAGGGAGATACACCCTCTATATTTGTCCTGTTTATCAGTATCATTGAAAGTGAAAGTAAATGTAAATCACAAATTTTGGGTTGTCCCCAGAACAGTAATAGAGGGAAAATCTTCCAATAGGGACACTAGTTCTGGTGACCTGGGGGCCCAAGACATGGATTTCCTGTCACTTCCTGTCTGGCTATGGAACAGGAAGTGAAGGTAAATCTCCCCCATGGGACAAAGATGGCAATAAAACTGACAGGAGTCATAACCCTCCCTCTATTCTAGCCAAAATGAAAAAAAAATTTTCTATAGTTTCACTTTAAATGTAAGTCCCACAGCCAACATGTTTCCTGGGCTTCAAACCTTCCCACTTCATCAGGGTTTTCACTAGACATCTCTTGGAATTTATCCAGGTCCATCAGTTTGTGTTCCGCTGGAAAGGTCTCTGATCACTCCCCAAGATGCCTGCCTTTACCTCGAATACACAGAAAAGCTTCTTTGCTCCTTTTTGATTTAGTTTCACTTTTTTATTAGATCCTGATTTCCTCTGACTTTATGACTAAATTCTGGCAACCACCATCCCATTATGTAATGGGACTGCCTCAGTGGCCTACTCATGAGGTACGGCAATTCAACGAGACAGGGACGGGGACTGGCTGGTGGTGGCACTAAGGCTCAGTTTACACTAGCTTTGTCAGCAGGTGTCAGACAGGCATTTGGGAAGCGTTAACGCTTCTCAAATGCCTATGAAAATTCTGCACATGGCAGCACACAGTGCTGTTCACACTGAAGTGTTAGCGTCACGGTAAAACTGACGCCTCATGTCCAGTCAGGAGGGGTTGAAGCCTCCCATTCAAGTCAATGGTGCCGCTCCGCAAACGCCTGGAAGGTGCAGTTGTGACGCGGTTGCGGAGCGTTAATACCATTTAACTTCATTATAGGCGTTTGTGGGTTTAAAGCTTGGCAAACGCCCATCAACCACCTCAAAACCGAGCATAGGGCGTTTGGGGAGCGTTTGAGGAGCATTAAAACACCTAACGCCTGTCAAACGCTATAGGGGCGTTTGGCAGGAGTTAGAAATAAAGTCTAGTGTGAATGAGCCCTTAGTCATGGAATAGCTGATCATTGTTAAAGTGAAACTAAATCAAAGAGGGGAACAGAAGAGCCTTTCTGGCTAATAAAGGTAACAACAGCAATGTATGTGTCTGCACTTAGGCTAGATTCACACCTATGCAGTTTGCGTTTGATCCATTTCTACGGCGCATTTTTGCACGTGTTTTTGCTACATTTTTTTTCCAACTTGTTGCTGAGCAGAGCAGAATGCAAAAACACATCAAAAACGCACTACATGCTTTTCTGCAGCGTCTTCATTGAAGTCTATAGAACCAAAAACTAAATGTTTTGCATTTAAAAAAGTCTCTGACCCGTTCCAAAAAATGCACCGGGTGAAACCGCGGAGATGTGAACCTGTCCCATAGGAAATCATGTTAAATGGACTGCTGTGCGTTTCTGCAAAGTGGAAAACACATAGGTGTGAACCTAGACTTAGATATAACTTCTATTTTTCATGGTACAAAAAGGAGAACAGGTTTACTTTATACAGGGTAGGAAAAGGCTGAGGGACAGGAGGTCCAGAATATATCAGGTTATTATTATTATACAGGATTTATATAGCGCCAACAGTTTGCTCAGCGCTTTACGATATAACGGGAGACAATACAGTTCAATACAAGAGGGTTATGAGGGCCCTGCTCCTTGGAGCTTACAATCTAAGAGGGAGGGGCTGGTGGTACAAAAAGGTAGTAACTGTGGGGGATTGACTGGTAGGAAGAGTAGAAGATTCCATTATTAGCTGAGGGCAGGATAGGCTTCCCTGAAGAGATTGGTTTTCAGAGATCACCTAAAAGTGAGCAGAGTAGGCGATAGTCTGATAGATTGGGGTAGAGAGTTCCAGAGGATGGGGGAAGCTCTGGAGAGAGAGCATGGGAGGAGGAGACAAGGGAGCTAGAGAGCAGAAGGTCGTGCGAGGAGCGGAGAGTACGGTTTGGGTGATAGTTGGAGACAAGATTGGTAGGTTAGATGGTGATACATTAGAATTCAGACGTGCACTAGAGCTGGTCCCACATGCAATGACATATGCTGGCCATCAAAAAGCGCTTTCCTTTTAGCAGAAGCTTCCTTTGTAGCCATGAGATGTCATGTGACCAAATGCCAAGAAAAGCAAAGCAAGCTTCTACTGGAAGATACAAAAACTTGCTCCACAATAAACCACGTCCACCTTTCACCATGCCCACTAATCACAGTGGCTCCATGGCACATGTTCTTAAGCCCAGAGAAATCTGCCCTGCCATGAGAAGACTCACTGATTGTGTTCGCTCCTAAGGCCAAAGGTTCCCAGTCTTCCCCTGACTTTATTTCCCACCTCCAACATCCTGGATCCGCAAGGGATATTCCTTCGCAGAGCCTTCACAACCAACCCCAACAATCAACTCTGAAGCTACCATAACTACTTTGGTACCATTGTCTACCACTGGAAACCCTCCTTACTACGACGTGGGAATAAAAGGTAGAGAACTCTGATTAAGCCCTACTCGAGTGAAACGTGTCATGGTCAGGGAGGTCTGGGTAGATCCTTCATGGTCTTTTCGAAATAATGTTTGGCCGCTGCTGATGTTCTTGGAGTATGGCCAGCTAGTTTCTGTTGACCACACGTGGGGATCACTGATGAGCGCCATTCCCCCCCCGGAGCTGTCCCAAGAAAGATAGGCAGACTGCAGGCTTGTGAGGTGCAATTTTTTTTGGTCTGTGACCACCCTTGGAAAACCAATGGTGTCACACAGATACAGTCCGGCCTTAAAGCCATGGTTTCCAAGAGCAGCTAAGGAAAGCCAAGCATCTCTGAGCAGTAGCTGCTTTGGAGCTGCACATCGCATTGTTCAAAAGAGCTGATTGTGGGTTTTTTTTAAGGAGAAAATTCTGTTCATCAGACGTTCTCCTGATTGAAACCCACTTTATTAGGAAGACAGCACAAAACATATAATATGTTCGCAGTGCTGTTACCCATAGCAACTATGCAGTAATGACCACTTACAGTAAGCTGAAATCTAATACGCGATTGCTTATTGCATTGTGCGCTACATTATTGAAGATGCCTGGTTGAGTCTGACAACCCACGCACTATCCAGTTCTAGCAAGTTACACTCTAATCTTCTGTCACATCTTGGGGAAAAAAAAAAAAGATCACACAGTAGATCTTGTAAAAAAATACAGTTTTGTTGCTTATAGCAACCAAAATCTTTTTTAATGTCTGCCGTACAATATTGGGAGATTGAAAGGAAGAACAGGGATTGCTACAGGCAACAGGAACACTGAATACGGGGAAAGTGGGAGATGGAGAGAAAATAAGTCTAATCTTGTATATTGGTTTTACTGGTACCACAGCCCTAAGGAAAATAGGTGGAAAAAAAACCCTAACCAAAAAAGTTAATTGGTATGTTGATCTGGTGCCGATTGGCTGCCATGCCCAGCTGCACCAGTTTTAGTAAATCTCCACCTGTGGGTCTCCAGGTATACAAGTGTTGGATGACAAAAATGTTCCTGTTGTCTGCAAAAAAAAAAAAACCCCTAACCAAAAAAAGGTAATGGGGCTTTAACTAGTTGCCGACCGCAGATAGCCGAATGACGGCTACACTGCGGCCGGCCAGTTCTGGGAGGGCCTCATATGACGTCCTCCCAGAACGCGCTCTCCTGCGCGCCCCCGGCGATCTCCGTGATTGCTGTGTCCTACGGACACAGCTGATCACGTGATGTGGTAGAAGGCCAATCACAGCGGCCTTTTACCACGTGATCAGCTGTGTCCAATGACACACTGATCACAGGGAAATGCAATTGCCGGTTCTTGGCTGCACTTTCCTCACGCTGTCAGATTGTGAGGAAAGTACTGCCAAAAACCAGCAGTTGTTAGAGCAGGGATCGGCACCGATCATCAGAGCACTGATGATCAGGGCCCTAATGATCGGTGCCCAGCAGTGCCACCCACCAGTTCCACCCACTTGTGCCCAGCAGTGCACCCACCTATGCCCAGCAGTGCAACCACCTGTGCCCACTAGTGCCACACACCAGTGCTGCCAGTCAGTGCCCAGCGGCTGTGCCAGTCAGTGCCCAGCAGTTGCGCCAGTCAATGCCTAATAGTGCCGCCAGTCAATACCTAGCAGTGCCGCCAGTCAGTGCCCAGCAGTGATGCCAGTCAGTGCCACCTAACAGTGCCATCAGTACCCATCATCAGTGCCGCCTCATTAGTGCTGCCTATCAGTGCCCATCAGTGCGGCCTATCAGTGCCCATCAGTGGTGCCTATCAGTGCCCATGTTTTGTTTTTTGTTTTTTTTTTTTTATTGGGCAGTCGGCAGTGGGTGGGAGGGTCTTTTGACCCTCATTTTGACATTTGTTGGTATTTAGGCCAGGGTCCAGCAGGCACACTTTTAGCTCTGAGGAAGGGATTCCGTTTCCCGAAACGCATCAGCTTATTCCCGAAACGCATCAGCTTATCCACACCAAGGGCACAGTATTGCATCCGCTGCTGTTGCGGATCATTTTTTCTGTTTTTTATTCTCATTGGTTTGTGAGTATATTTTATTTCATTTAATAAATACGTGGGTCTCCACGGTAATGCACGATGAGAGTGCGCCCTTGTCTGTTTTTGTTTACCAGTATTCAGATTTCCCAGTCTTTGAAGGCAGCACCTCTTCGTTTTTGGCATTCTCAATTCCCTGGTCTGCATGAAGATTTGAGTGCTGGTTTCATTTGTTTGTCTATTGGATGATACCACCAAAAGAAAGCTCTATTTGTGAGAAAAAAATGCTAAAAATTTCATATGGGTACAATGTTGCATAACCGCACAATTGTCAAAGTGCGACAGCGCTGAAAGCTGAAAATTGGCCTGGTAAGGAAGGGGGTATAAGTGCCCGGTAGGGAAGTGGTTAAAGGTACCACACCATACCAATAGAAGTGAAATAGAAACGTAAAAAAAATAGATTTAATCTTTTCACGTTTCTATTTCACTTCTATTGGTATGGTGTGGTACCTTTAAAGCCCCATTACCTTTTTTTGGTTAGGGTTTGTTTTTTTTTTCAGACAACAGGAACAGTTTTGTCATCCAACACTTGTATACCTGGAGACCCACAGGTGGAGATTTACTAAAATTGGTGCACCCAGAATCTGGTGCAGCTGGGCATGGCAGCCAATCGGCACCAGATCTTGAACTCTCTGGTTTTAGTAAATAACCCCCACAGTGTACAGGTGCCTAAGCCTGGGTTCACACTGATGCGGTGCGGAATTTGCAGCGTTTTCTGTGCGAATTCCGCACTGCATCAGAATCGCACCCCGTTCATGTAAACCGCTGCAGGTGTGTATGTTAAGTTAACAACACCCCGAAATTGGTCCGCAAAACGTGGTGCGATGTGCAGAATCGGATCACATAGGTGTGAATACCAATGCGATCCGATTCTAGTGTGGACCAAAAAGAGGGTCCTGCACCCTTTTGGTGCGGTACAACTAGAGCCATACAAAATATATGGCTCCAATCGCACCGCACACAAATCGCATGTGATTTGCACAGGAATGCGGTGCGGTTCCTGTTCGAATCACATGCAATGTACCAAGCAGCATATATGTGAACCTGGGCTAAAGGTCCCCTGGATACTTGCAAATGAACTTGCCCCCCTAAAATGAATAGAAGGCACTGGAGGGGGTTCATACATGCCTTTTCAGGCCCATAGAATTGAAAGGGGAGCATGCTAAAGCATATTCAAGTACCGTCCAGAAACTGCATGGAGCTTTCAGTGCAAAATTGTAAACAGGGACTTTCCCACTAAACTATAGAAAGAAAAAAGACCGACAATTTTGAGAAAAAAACTGTATTTTTGACTTTTTGCAATTAAACTTGTCCAGTAAAAAATTTTAAGAAAATCAAATTCCATCACAAATTTCAGCCAAAATGTATTCTGCTACATACCTACTAAAGAAAAAATCCCAATACGTGTAAATTAATTGGTTTACGTGAAAGTTATAGCGCTTACAAACGGCTGTATATATACTAGAATTTTGTTTTTTTGGTTTTTTTTTACTAGTAATGGTGGCGATCAGCGACTTATAGCGACAAGTACAACAAAGACGCATAGGGAGCCTTTTCACAGTTGATATATTTCTACATGTTTTGCAGCATAGAGCTACTTCTTCCTGGAAAGATTGGAATCATAATAGCTACAGGAAAAAAACAATATAATACATATGTAATAAATCTCAAAAAAACCTGCCATTGGCCAGGGGTCAACAGGGCTCACCCAGAGTTAGAAATTGGACCAGTATGCCCCGGGCTATAGACACTATTATTTATGATGACCCTAGGCTATTTATGATCACAATTTACTGATTTTATATATTTTTTACAGCTTTTATTGAGTGTTTGATCTGTCTGTGGGTCTCCCATACCCACCAAGGGAAGGATATGGCTCCCTGGACTCTGGCCCGTGGCATACTGGTCCAATTTCTAATATGAACACTTTTTTGTAATAGCACCAAGAAAGTCCTATTCCCTCAAATAATATAGTTTTCTGACATTTATATGTGAGGATGAGGTGCTCTTTATAAATAGAGTGACATTCGGCACATGGTAAATTTATTGCCTTAACCACTTGCCTTCCGGGCACTTCTACCCCCCTCCTGCCCAGGCCAATTTTCAGTTTTCAGCGTTGTCGCACTTTGAATGACAATTGCGTGGTCATGCAACACTGTACCCATATGAAATTTTTATCATTTTTTTCTCACAAATAGATCTTTCTTTTGGTGGTATTTACTTGCCGCTGGGGGTTTTATTTTTTGCGCTATAAACAAAAAAAAAGAGCAAAAAATTTGGAAAAAAAAAAAGGTTTCTTTGTTTCTATTATAAAATTTTGCACATTTTTCTCCTTCACTGATGTGCGTTGATGAGGCTGCACTGATAGGCAGCACTGATAGGCAGCATTGAAGGGCACTGATAGGAAGCACTGATGAGGTGGCACGGATAGGCGGCACTGATAGGTGGAACTGATAGTCAGCACTGACTGGCGGCAGTGATGGACTCCACTGATGAGTGGCACTGATGGGCACAGGTGGGTGACACAGGTGGGTGGCACTGATGGGCACAGGTGGTGGAATTGGTGGGTGGCACTGCTGGGCACCGATCATCAAGGCACTGATCATCAGTGCCCTGATGATCAGTGCCGATCCCTGCTCTGACAACTGCCGGTTCTCGGCAGTACTTTGCCCACATTCTGACAGCGTGAGGAAAGTGCAGCCGAGAGAACCGGCAATTGCATTTCCCTGTGATCAGCGTGTCCTTGCACACGGCTGATCACATGGTAAAAAGCCACTGTGATTGGCCTTTTACCAGATCACGTGATCAGCTGCGTCCATGGGACTCTCAAATCCTGTGTGGTCCACTAGCTTCTCCAGTGCAGCATCACGGAGCTCAGAGCTACAGCAACAGAGTGCGTGTGAGTGGGGTTGAACCAGCTGGGGGTGTCTTAGCAACGAGGCATGATGGGATGATGCCATTTCTGGGAGGTTTTTCAGTCAGGCTTTGGGAGGTACATAAATGGCCAACACCTACAGCAAGAGCATTATTCGACTTTAACCAAAGATGCAGTTTATTTTTACCTACAGGCGCCCATAATCTGCATAGGCAGTTTTCTGATAATAGTGATCTAATCCTTTACTGCAACAAAGGCATGTTAACGTGCTGCACTAATGCAATGCAATGGCACAAATAGGCCCCAATAGTATTTTTACATTCATTTATATTGAATATATAATTAGACAAATTGGTTAGCACTTCCGCCTAGCAGTACTAGGGTTGCTGGTTCGAATCCCAGCCACAGCACCACCTGCCTGGAGTTTGCATGTTCTCCCTGTGGCTGCGTGGGTTTCCTCTGGGTACTCCGGTTTTTCCACCTTGCTGGTAGGTTAATTGGCCCTGTCTAAATTGTCCCTAGTATGTGTATGTATGAATGTGAGTTAGGGACCTTAGATTGTACACCCCTTGAGGGTTAGGGACTGATGTGAATGTACAATATATATGTAAAGTGCTGCGTAAATTGATGGTGCTATATAAGTACCTGAAATAATAATAATACAGTATATCTGCCTGGAGATACACTTTACTGAAATACAAAGCATGTTCACACTGGCAGCGCACCACAGCTTCTACAATCAGCAAATCTTTGCACACATAATCTTACTAAGGATCCCAGCTCTCAGGCTTGAAGGGAATGCTGGGCCTTGTAGTTCCACAGCAGCTGACTTCCCTCACTGACTACTGCAATGCATGCTAGGACATGTACTGTTGTAGCAGCTAAAACAGGCATCGCTCTATATACAGACGGCAAACATTGGCTTTGTGTTGCAAGCCTTGGCGTCCACTCTGCCAATTCACTAGTGGAGTGGATTTACGAAGGTCATTTGTCAGTAATTGCCAATATCTATTCTAATCGCAACCTGCTTGTGGTTTGTTTGCTTAAAAGGGACTCCTTGGCCTGAACATGCAAAGTGACAGCCTCCTACTAGCCCACGCTTGACCCCCTTAAGACTCCATGTACACTGCAGCTGATAAACTGATGTTCAGGAGCTTTTCTGCGTTTTTTTTTCAGCAGCCCCTCAACTCTCTCCCTAATGTTTTCCTATGTACACATCATCGTTTACAGGCAGTTGAGTTTACAGTTGTTTTTTTGAACGCACCAAACTTGCGTTCAGGAGCAGATTTTATCAGCGTTTCAAACGCCAAACGCTTGTAAACGTGGCTAACCGCGTTTAGAAATTTTTTTAACTCTTCCATTTCCAGATGCTGTCCAGAGCCTTTTTTCATCATGAAAAATGCATACAAAAAGTTTCCCCGGTACTCAAATGGACCCGGTACACCATACTTTGAGGTTTTGCATGAAAGAAAATATGTTAATTTCTGCACAGAAATGAGCTGGAACACAACCAAACACCACAAAAAAAAAAAAAAAAAAAAAAAAAGACAGCTCATCTCAACACATACTGCTCCCTCTGCTTCTGCTCTCTATTTCTCTCACAATGTCTGAAATAGTTCATTTTTTACTATTTTTCAGTACATTCTGGGCATTTTGGAAGGTCTCCTGAAGTTATCTTTAACCACTTGCCTACAGGGCACTTATACCACCTTCCTGCCCAGGCCAATTTCCAGCTTTCAGCGCTGTCACACTTTGAATGACAATTGCGCAGTCATGCAACACTGTACCCATATGAAATTGTTATCATTTTATTGTGACAGATAGAGCTTTATTTTGATGGTATTTAATCACCTCTGGGTTTTTTATTTATTTGTAAACAAACCAAAAAACCACAGAAAATTTTGAAAAAAAAAAAAAAACCTCTTAGTTTTGTTATAACATTTTGTAAATAAGTGATTTTTCTCCATCACTGATGTACGCTAATGAGGCTGCAGTGATGGGCACTGATAAGCTGCACTGATGGACACTGATAGATGGCACTGGTAGGTGGAACTGATAGGCATTGATAGGCATCACTGATGGGCACTGAAAGGCAGCACTCATATATGGCACTGATAGATGGCTCTGTTAGGTGGCACTGACTGGCACTGATAGGTAGCACTGACTGGCACTGATGGGTGACACTGAAACGCAGCTCAGATGGGCACTGATATGTAGGCATTGATGTGCACTGTGGCACTGAAATGTGGCACTGATGGGCACTGGCAGGTGGCATGGATGAGCACTAACAGCTGGCACTGCTGGGGCCACACTGATCATCAGGGCACACTGATCATCAGTGCCCTGATGATCATTGTACATGTCCCCTCTGAGGAATGCCGATTACCGGCTCCCTTCTCCTCTCGAGCTGTCAGCGTGACAGCTCGTGAGGAGAGAAATGCCGATAACTGGCATTTCCCTATTTACATGCGATCAGCTGTGATTGAACACAGCTGATCACATGACCGACAGATCTTTCAGTTGATCGGTGATCCGCTGTGTCCCTCGCCAATCGCCACGCTGTGCGCTCCCGGAGCCCCGCATGCACGGTTGGAATGGGAGGACGTCATATGACGTCCTCCCAGAACGACGAGAGAGAACTGCCTTGCACCCATCATTATACTATATGGTGGGCGGGAGGCGGTTTTAAAAACCACTTCTAAGCACAAACACTCGGAAATGCACATGAACGTGGTATGCAAACGCGGCTGAATAGACAATTTTTTTAACCTACGTTTTCCAGCAGTCAGTTTACATCGTTCAGAAGTGTCCCGTGTACATGGAGCCTAAGCCGGACATAGATGGTTCGAATCTCGGCTGGTTCAGCAGGGACTGGCCAAGATTCGAACCATAGATGGGCAGGCTGATTGTACCGAATTTGATTTTTGTATGGCTTGGGTACAACCAGCATGTTGGGTTTACATGCAATTACTGCCTGTGGCTATAGCTGCTGGCAATAATCACTGTGTTCTCCTGGCAAGTGATTCCCCCATCAACACTCACTGTGTTGTTGGGGAAATCTAGTGATTTTCTTTCCTGCAACCCATGGTTGCAGGAAAGAAAAATCGCATCGTCTATGCCCTGTCTTACACTCACCTGCCCAACAATCCCCCACCACTCTGTTGGTACTGGAGTAGTGATGAGATTCGGGTTTGGGTCAGACATGGATTCAAGATGAACCCAGCCTGTTCATGAATCCGCCACACTATTGCTGCCAGTAACATCACCCAGGACCCCCTCCCCCCACATTGCGTTTGCTTTACCACAGCAGAAGGGATCTGTCATTTATTAACGGGATGTGATATGTACAAATTGGCGGGCATTGGGTCATGGTGACTGACGATAGATTTACATCGCTGGACATTTTTATTTGCAATAGATTACATTGGGGGGGGGGGGGGGGGGGGGCATTAAAGAGAATGTAAATTCACCTCCCCCATCAGCACCAACATCTTCTGGTCTTCTTCCGGGCTTGGGAATTTCGAACATGGCTGGGCCTGAATTGCTGGGGGTTGTGGGCATCAGCAGAGATTGTCACCTAGCCCTTAACAGACTGAGGGTGGTGTCTCCTTAACCACTTCAAGTCGGACACTTTCGCCCCCTTCCTGTCCAGACCAAATTTCAAGTTTCAGCACTATCACACTTTGAATGACAATTGCGCAGTCATGCAACACTGTACCCATATGAAATTTTTAGCATTTTTTTGAGACAGATAAAACTTGATTTTGGTGGTATTTATCCACCACTGGGATTTTTATTTATTTTGCTATATAAATAAAAATCTCCAAAAATATTGAAAAAAAAAGTTTTTAATATTTTGCAAATAAATAATCTTTCTTCATAAATCTTGGCCAAAAATGTATTCAGCTATTTTTTTTTAGGAAAAACAAAAATAACCCAATTTAATTTATAACCAAAATTTATAATTTTTCAAAAAATTTATTTTACATTTTTATTTATATTATTAGTTATTTTTTTTAACATACTGTCACCCTAGCAGTATAGTGTCACCATAGTGACACTGTACTACTACTTGTGGGGGGTGATGAAAATTTTATTTCTCTTTTTTTACACGGATTTCTGTTACACCCATAAAGGCTGAAAAAAGCAATCATTTCTATTCCTCTCTGGCTGCATTCTTCCAGCCATTGAGAAATACTGTGAGAGCTGTGATAGGTCACAGCTTGTCACATGGTACAGGCTGTTGTGACTAGCCTTGTACCATGTGACCTCAGTAATCATTCACAGATTTCACAAGTAGTAAGTAATGATGTCAGGAAGTGACATCTTGTTTACTGCTATTCATGTGATCACTGATTGGCCAATCAGTGATCACATGAATTGGGACCTCACACAGAGGTCCCATACAGCGAACAGTGTTCAGCTTTTGTCCGGAGTACACAGCAGGCACTGGATTGCGGTGCCGCGTGCTCCCAGGGAGCGCGCACAGGCAATGAATGCGGGTGATGTTTAGAAACGTCAACCCGCTTCGGCAGCGCTCCTGTCTGGCCATTTACAGACATGGGATGAACGGGAAGTGGTTGTAAACCTCTGAAATGAAAAATGAACAAAGCATATCCTTCTATAGTGTGTACTTGCCTCAACCCAATGCACCTAGTTATAATTTTGTCTGCTCTCTCATTCCACTGCTGTCTGCATGAGTCAGGTCAATGTGGACATCACGCAATCCAAGGAGACAGCTCCACTCCACCCCCAGCAGAAGTGCATGTTTCCCTATGAGACTGTGTAGAGGGGGTGTGTCCTTTCCACTCAGGTGTCAGATTACACTCAGCTCCCTGTTCTACTGAGAAATGCTGTACTGTGAATGGCTGTGTAGGACAGAGAGCTACAGATAAACTGGTACAATTTATGTAGGAAGATTTGTTTCATCTCCGGGTATTACCTTAGGCTCATCACTTCAGCTGGTATATGTAAAAGCTTACAAACACTTTAAACCTGGTTGATGATGTTGTCCTCCTAGTCCGGTGACAGCATTCAGCCTATACAGCTGTACGCTCAAGGCCAAGAATTGAATCCAGGAAGGTGATCACATGCCCCATCATACCCCCCCCCATTAAATCTGGCCAGCAACTAACACACTGTAGCCATAACCCCATGACAGTCATGGTGTACAGATCCTTTAAATCCCCATCTGCACACAAGTGCTATGCTGAAGCCCTTCCCTTAGCTGTGAATCGAATCTCTCAATGTTTAAGTGTTTAATTCCTTATATCCATTAACATTTGAGCAATGGACGCCCACGGACATATGCACTGAGTAAATATACTCAAGAGGACACGTTAGGACACATATGCCTGAGGGGACATGTTCAGACATCTCCTTTTAGAAATATGCAAATAGGGACATGTACCCGCACACCCACATACACACCACAGCCTAGCCGAGAGGAAAATATCCACAAAATGAAACACACACAGAAGGCAAAAGGCACGTTTCTAGCCATCGTTTGTCAACCAGAGCAAAGAACTAAAATGTTATCGCCTACACCAACTAAAATTCCACATTTTGCTTCCCATTGCACATTGAATACTTACATCTGATGTGTTGCATTGGGCAATAAACCTATTTTCTATTTAACCAGATCTCAATAGTAAACCTCTTTCCTGCAACCAGTGACAGTTGATGCTGCCTAGTGAGCTGGGTCTTCCCATATCACAGCTTATCATTACATTTGTGTCTAGGCTGCAATCACACCTGCACAAAAACACACAAAACACACAGAAATGAGCATGTTGCCATGTGTATCGGAAATGCGCTGCAATCGAGGGTCGCATAATTGTTAATAGCACCCCATGCACCTCCATGACTTCTCCCGAGCTTCTCCCATACTATGGAACTCCCTACCCCAATCTGTCCAGCTGTCTCCTAATCTATCCACCTTTAGACGATCCCTGAAAACCTCTCTCTTTAAAAGAAGCCTATCCTGCTTCTACCTAGTAAACTGCCATTTATTTCCTCCATAAGCTCATCCCTCCACAGCTATTACCTTTGTATCACTCAACCCTTCCTCCTAGATTGTAAGCTCTGATGAGCAGGGCCCTCGGTTTCCTCTTCTACCAAATTATATTGTAACTGTAATGTCTACCTTCATTTTGTAAAGTACTGCGCAAACTGTTGGCGCTATATAAATCCTGTATTATAATATATAATAATAATAATAATAATAATAATAATAATAATAATGCACAGGTAGCATGAACGCTGAAAGCTGAAAATTGGCCTGGACAGGAAGGGGGTAAAAATATCGGGACTTGAAGTGCTTAACCCCTTCCTTTCGGCGCCTCCCAGCCCTTTAAGAGTTTCAGAAGCCGGGAGGTGGGACGGGGGGGTTTAGGGATCATGTGACCGCCATGACGCGTCGTCACGGCGGTCACATGATCGGAAAAGGTCCCGAAAGAAAGAGCAGACCGGGACCTTTCCGTGAGTACAGGACCTGTTTGCTAGGAGTGCGCAGGGCACGCGCTCTCAGCACATATGTTTGTTTCTTACCTGAACGCAAATGTGCGGCCGCTCGGTGTCTAGGCCCAGACGCCGGGAGGCTGCACATTTGTGTGCGGCAGGGCGTAAAGGGGTTAAAGTCTTTTAAAATAATAAACATGTCATACTTACCTGCACTTTGCAGTGGTTTTGTACAGAGCAGCCCAGATCCTCCTTTTCTCAGGTCCCCCGCCAGCACTCCTGGCCCCTCCCTGCTGTAGGGTGCCCCCACAGCAAGCAGCTTGCTATGGGGACACCTGAGCAGGTGTGCTCCTGAACCACGGCTCTGCATGTCTATTCACAAACAGAGCCGCGGCTTGGCTTCGCCCTCTTCCTTTCCTGATTGGCACACTAGCTGGGACTGACAGCAGAGGGAGCCAATGGCTCAGCCAATCAGGAGTGAGAGTCCCCGGAGAACCGAGGCTCTCCTGGACATTGCTGGATCGAGAGGGGGCTTAGGGAAGTGTTAGAAAGGGTTGGTACACACAGAAGGTTTTTTACCTTCGTGCATGGAAATAGAGTTAAATATACCTCCCTCTGTTGCAGAGGTCTCTCCCCAGCATCTTCTACCAGGTGCCAGTCTTTGGCCTTCTTGATTGGCTGGTGCAGGACAACGTCATTCCCATGCATGCGTAGGAGTCATTCATCCAGCACCTTGCAGAAAATGTAGACTGAGCTGCGTATGCACAGCTCGTACATTCTGCAGAAGAATGCAGACAGGTAAGATCCTTTTATTTTGCCTCTTCTGCAGTACAGAGCCTGCTTGTTTGCATTTTTATACATTTGCTCCACTTACAAGTGGATGTATACTGCATCTGAGCGCCACACTTTTTACTTTTTAAAATTATACGCAAACCCCCTAAACCATGTCTCCATGGTTTATTTTATTGAGAAATCAATTTGACCCCCCCCCCACAAGCATTTCTAGCCACAGCCATCTTGACTAAGAACAGATTATTCATGTGGCATTTACATGCTGGAATCCATCAGC